CTTCCTTCCTTCCTTCCTTCCTTCCTTCCTTCCTTCCTTCCTTCCTTTCTTTTTTTTTTTTTTTTTTAAGTAGAATAGTACTGAAAGAATTTGGGACCGAAGATATGGAATGCAGGATTATTGAGTTAGCTGTCAGTGGTTAGCTTAAATGTCTCAGGGTAAAAAGAAAGGACAGCATGGGTGAGTTGCAGGTGTCCAGAGGCAGGAGAGGGCAGGTACATTCTTTTTGTGTAATGGGGTAGTCCGCCTTAAGGTCACCAGAGCAGATACCACAGGGTCTAGCTTGAACTATATCCTCCAAACCAACAAAGAATAGAAATGTTTGGAATTAGTGGTTAGTTGTGCAACAAATGTCAATGGGGAGCATGTCATGATGTCCACTGCGTTCCCCACCTCCTTCTCCACAGAGACCTAGATTAGCATCTGACTCACCAGGGTAAATGAGCTCAGCGACGCCCAGCCCGCCTCAGGTTACGTAAGCACACATGGGTTGGCACAGGTGTCTGTGGTCTCTCAGAAGGAGATGGGGAGGCTGGGGACGGCATGGCCGCTGCTGGAACTGCTTCAAGGCCATGCCAGGCACGGGCACTCACCTGTGTGCTGGGGGCGGGCGAGGGAGAAGCCACCCATAGAGACAGCGAGTTGCCATGTTCAGTAGCTTGGAGCCAAGAACTGGGACTTTATTCTTTGAAAAGAAAGATGCTGACTTTCTTTATGTGGGTTTTTATATGCTTTGAGGCTTTCTCATGTTGGCTGATTCTCTCTTCCCTCTCCTGGAGATCAACCCCAAGGCTTGACACAGGAGGAATGTCCCATAACAAATATTTCCATTAATTTTTTTTTCTCATGATTGTTCACTGGTTTTGGAAGATGTTTGGAAAGGAGCTCTGTACTCCAGCCTCTCTTCGTAGTAGTCTTGTTGATGGCCTGCTTAGGCAGTGTTTACCCCAGAGTATATAGTTGCTGCTTTGCATATTCTGAGTCACCTGACTGAGGATGAAGCTCTCCTTTGAGAGGCACAATTGTAGTGGGAGAGTTGTTTGCAAGGTGCGTTTAATTGTTACTTTGGGTGTTCACAGTGCCCCGTGTGGCAAAGCTCGGAAATCCTCTTATCTTCTGTTAGGTAAAAGGGAGGCCCTGTTTATGTACCCCCTTCTTTTTTTAAACATTTCCATCTCATGCTGGTTAGTTTTTACCAATCTGACACAAATTGTAGTCTCCTGGAAGGAGTCACCGGCAGCTGAGGAACTGCCATGCCAGGTTGGCCTGTGGGCAAGTCTGTGGCACATGTTTTTGGTAAATGATTGATATGAAGGGCCCAGTCCACTGAGGGTGTTGCAGCCTGAGCAGGTAGGTGGTCCTGGGCAGTGCGAGAAACTGGGCTGAGCAGGCCAGTAAGCAGCGCTCCTCTACAGGATGGTCTGTGCTTCGGTTCCTCCCCCAGGGCCCGCCTTCCCATCCCTCAGTGAGGCCCTAACCAAGTGAAAAAGTGCTAATAAGATGGACTTTTACCAGGTAAATTTTATGCACAGTGTTAGGCTTTGGAAAACCCAGCGGGGCTTGATCCCGGAACCCTGACCTGGGTAATGCTGGAATGGAAAAACAGCAGTAAGAAGGGAAAGCCGTGCGCATAGAGAAGCTGGGATTGGGTGCGCTGTGCTCGCCCTGACAATCCAGAAAGTCACAGGGGAAGGGATTCATGGGTCTCTGTGGGAGGTCTCTGTTGGGGAGCAGTCTCAGGCTGTAAACTTCTGGGAAGAGGAAGATGAAGTTGAAGCTTTCTGCACATACTGACATTTGTCAGCATTTGCACATGGGCCAGGGGAAGGCTCAGCGTTTTCCCTGAACCTGACCCAGGGAGGCACTGGGGTCCTGGACATGGCTACGCTCTATCAAGCACTGCACACTTACTCAGGACCTCCCCTGCTTCCCACGGGAAAACAGTATAGAAATATACGGCTAACTGGAAAGTCATTGCTTAATGAGAGGGTAGGTGTGACGGGAGCGAGTCTGTGCGCATGCTCGAGGTGCGTTTGCCGGTGGGCTTGTGGATCAAGAGGGAACCGCTTCTGGCTGGATCCTGTCTTGAACTCACTCCGAGTGGCTAACTTCCCTGATGATCGCGGGGCAGGGTGAGTGGTACACCTTCACTACCACTGGGACCCTGTTCGCCCTGCGCACGTGTTTATTACGCGCTGAGAATATGGTGATCGGACGCAGTTCCTCCTCTCACAAGCTCCTGTCTGGTGTTTGAGATCACAAAGAGTGAGCCGCACAGCAGCCTCTGCTCACAAGTGTCCTTGGCTTCCTGCCTGGATGGTGTTTGGAATTCCAGATTCAGCCTGTTACACTTGTCCGGCAGCTCTGGCCTCACGGGCCCTCTGGCAAATACACGTGCTTTTCTCCTCCCTAAACCTTGGCTGCTCGGTGTTTATTGCATGTACCGTAGAGGACCTCGTTTTCAGTTTGTTCTTTAGATGGGTGTCATGCCTGTAAAGAAAGCCAGTGGCAGAACTTACTTCAGCAGTCCACTCTGTAACAAACAGAATTTCAGTGAAGTGCTAGGAATGCCCTCTGAAGTCTGCTGGACTTAGAGGTCCAATGAGTTTTATTTATTTTTTGTTTTTGAGACAAGAGTCTCACTGTGTCGCTTTGACTGGCCTGGATGGAGTTCTCGGTGTAGACCTCGAACTCACAGATGCCCACCTGCCTCTGCCTCCAGACTGCTGGGATGGAAGGCATGGACCACCACATTGGAATTAAAAAAGAATTCCGCTTTGGTTGAGAGAGACATTGATTTATGTGGCCAGATATCTACATTATCTTATTCTGTTTTACCCTGTCTGCTTTGTGTCAAGATTTCTGCTAAAACTTGGGCATCAGATGACCATCTCAATCTTCTGTAGTAGAACTGTCTTACAAAATGTAGTGCAGTCATTCATACCCTCTCTCTCGCTCTCTGTCTCTCCCTCTCTCTCTCTCACACACACATACACCACTGCTTCTCTCTGTACTTGCAAGCTGTAGTCTAGTGATTGAAAAATAAAGCAGGGCATGAGAACATGCAGCAGTTCCCCCTGCCTTGTCTTATTGTTTTATCACACACTATTGCTGTTTTACACCATCTAGAATTGTTTTCTTTTCCTTTCTGTTTATCTGGTTGTAAATTTTGCACGTTTACCTACTTGTCAGCTCTTATTACGGCCTTGTTGTCTTTGTTATTGGCCAGAACGGTAGTTTCCGAGCTGGTGGGATGCTGGTGTTTCACTGGACGGGTTTGACTGAGACTTGGCACAGCTGGTCTGGCAGCGTTCGGCTGCTAGGGGGGCAGCCCTGAGTGAGAGCGGTGAACTCAGCCTCTTGTTCTTGGAAATGCAGGTGAAGACACACATGGGACCTATGTGAGTGATGTATGTGAGTCCTTGCTGTGTGAACAGAAGCACAGCTGAGTCTCTGTGTGGATGGCCACCAGCTGGGCACTGTCCACGGGTCCTGGGCTCTGGGTAATGGCTTGCTTACCCCTCTTTGGGATTGGGACAGGTAATTGAAAGTCAGTCCTGGCCTTAGGAAGGGTCAGGACAGGGACCAGAGTAGGTTCTCAGAAATATAAACACCAGAAGTTTGCTCAGAACAACTGAGGTATGAACAGGGTTAGGGTAGGGAAAGAGCAGCAGGCAACAGCAGTACAGTGAGAGGGCCAGATACCCTCGTCATCCTCCACAGGGAGCACGGAGGAGGAGCAGTTCCGGTTTGACATTCTTCCCTGTAAAGTGCCTTTTCAGGGTAAAATCAGTTCCGGGGTTAATCAGTGACCATCCTCCTGCCCTGCTGGCACTCTTCGGCATCACGAGACTTCCGAGAGTGCTGACACTTCCCAGTACGGTCTTCAGCAGGGAACTGGCGCTTGCAGACAGAAGCAAGCTCTGCTCTGGATTGCTTCCTTGTAGAATAGGAGGATGTGGGAGGTCCTGATGGCCCAGCTCTGGAGGCGACCCTGCAGTGTGGAGTGACAGGAAGCAGGGGGAAGGCATGCTGGTTAGGACACCGCATGGTAAGTGTGAGCTTCCACGCCTCCTTTTACTTCCCTGCACGAGCCGCACCGGGGCTTTTGGTTGCACTCGGAGGGGACGAAACCACACAGGGAATCGGTGGCAGACACGTGGAGCTTACGCAGGAGGAGCAAAAGCTGCTGTCTCTCTGGTGGGTGGCATTAGCGGGAGTTATTTGTTGTTGACACCTAGTCTCACTCTGTGGCCCGGGATGGATTTGGAGTTACTGCTCTCCTGCCTCAGTCTGTGCTTCCACACTGGGCAGGCAGCAGTGTTGAGATATAACTTTTAGAATCCCCTGCCTTTAGGGTTGCTTTGATGAAAAGAATGAGTTGGATTGCCCCTGTTCAGATCAGGTATTGGCCCCTACCAGAGTCAGGATTGTGAGATGTGGTATGTGGCCAATAGCCTTGAGATTTGTTCTTTGTGCGCTTTGTTCTTTCCATTCCCAAAGAAGCAGAAATAAAAAGCTACACACCCTTCCTAGAATTGGTTAACACATCCCTTTGATAACCCTGTGTTTTTTTGTTTTGTTTTGTTACTGCTTACACTTGAAAACAGGTCAGTGCATCTTTCTTGCTGGTTTGAGTCATGGTCATTTGAGACAAGCTTTTGCTGTCTAGCCCAGGCAGGCCTGGGCCTCCTGGCAGTGCTCCCTCTGTAGCTGTGTGCTCCTGAGTACCCTGTGCCAAGCAGTCAGGGTGGATGTAGCTTTTCTTGTAGAAGAAGGCCCAAATGCAAGCTGAGGTACCATAGCCAGGAGCAGAGCCAGAATATGTGGGCAGTAAACGGTCCAGTTTCCTTTGGATGGTTTCTTGGTATTTTACAGCTTAAAATTTGCCAGCTTGTACCTGTATGATGGAGGGAAAGGCAGATGTATTTAGAGAGAAAGATGGGAGGTCCTTGCTATCTTCTAGTGATCAGTAAAGAAGTAAATGGTGGCTGAAGCCCTGAAGTGTCTTGTCTTCACAAATCTCAAACCAGTTGGCTCCAGATTCAATAACTTGCTTTCTGCTACTGTTTTGGCTTGTGAGGGCCATGTCCATAGCAGGCCAGGTCAGTTCTTCAGTCTCCGGAGGGTTCTTCCTGGTCTCCCGAGACTCAGTGCAGTGGCAGCTTAATAGGCTGGGGGCGGGGGAGGCAGGCCACCCAGATCATGCACACATTTCCCTTCTGTGTCTTTATGTGTTAGTGTTTTGTTCCTTTTAGAACTGGAGATGGTTTCCTTGTGGAAGCACCTACAGTCCGGGCGTATGGCATCAGGCTAGGTCCCCAGCACCCAGCGTAAAAAGGCCAGGCGCAGCAACATGGGCAGTAATGCCAGCATTGTGTAGCCAAGGGCAGGAGGAGCCCTGGGGCAGGCTGGCCAACTGGTCTACCCTCATCGGCAAGCTTCACACATTCAGCGGGAGACTTCTAAGTAAATAAGTAAACAGGTAGAGAAACAAGGGGCAAGGCACTCATTGCTGACCCCTGGTCTCTGCAGGTTCCATGTGCAGATGACAGTTGCTACATACTTACACACCAAATACACGCCTGCTTTCTTTTAAATTGAGTTGGTATTTTGTTATATGTGCCGAAGAGCAATTTGTCACATGTTTTACAAATGCTTCTTAGTTATGTAAGTGCTTTTTAAAGACTAGGAAGTTACTCTTGGTGAAGTCAGAGGCAGGATGACAGGAGTGGGAGCTTGCCACACTGCGGCTGCAGCTGGGCACAGACAGATGAACCCCAGAGCCGACTTTCTCCTTTCTCCCTTTTTGTTTAGTCTGGGACCCAGCCCCTGGCATGGTGCCACCCACATTCAGTGCGAGTCTTGCCAAGTCAGTTCAGCTTCTCTGGAAACACCCTCATGGGCACACCTAGAGGTGTGTTTCATGGTGATTCTTAGCCCAGCCAAGATAGCAGTGAAGCTCAGCGCTCTCAGCCCTACCACTTGTCAGCTTGACACTCCATAGTGTATCCTTACACCCCGGCCACCGAAATTTTGCTTTAACCTCATGATGTAAAATTCTCTTAGTTCGCCCTCAGCGTCCTCACAGTCTTTGCCAATCCCAGTACTGTTCAGAAGTCTCTTCTGAGACTCAAGCCGATCTCTGCAATTGTGAGTCCCTTTTAAAAATGAACAAACAGGTGATGTGCTTCTTATGTACCATGGCCCAGAGTAAACATTGCCGTTTCAAAACAGCTATAAGAGAAGGGTAGCAAGGAGACGTTGGGCCAAAGCTAAACCTAAACACACCAGGGCGGACACCGAACTACACTGCTCCATGGTCCAGCATCTGGGGCTGGCGATGCCATCTTCTGGGTTCCAGCGGCGTGGCCAGCCCTGCCCTCCAGCTTTGCTGCTTGCTGTAAGAAGCAGCTCTCTCCACTTGATGTCTGCAGCTTTGCTCCCCATGGCAGGGGAGTCTCAGAGTTACACCAGATTAACCATCACATATGTGATCCACTGGGGAATTTGTTTGGCTGTTTTTTTTGGAGACAAGGTCTTATTCTGCAGTCCAGGCTACATGGTTTTGTTGTGGGCTGGGTCTCTGCTGTCATTGTTCAAGACTGGTGACCTTGTTTTTCTTTTATGGTTTATACCTTTAAATGTATGTTATGAGCTATGGTTTGCTGATGTTTTTTTTTTTTTTTTTTTTTAAAGCTCTTGATCTGTGAGTGCACAGGGCATTAAGTTTCTAGTCATTTCTTCTTTTGCTGTTTGGCTTTAGTGTCATGGCTTGCTGCTGGATAATACGATTTATAAACATCTTCAGACTAGAGTAGGATAGTGTAAACAAACAAACGTTTAGAGACTATGCTGTCTTGTTGTAGTTGTTTTGCTTTTTGTTTTTTTGAGACAGGGTTTCTCTGTGTAACCTTGGCTGTCCTGGACTGGCTTTGTAGACCAGGCTGCCCTCTAACTCACAGAAGTCCCCCTGCCTCTGCCTCCCTGAGTGCTGGGATTACAGGCATGCATTACTGCACCCAGCCACACTATCATTTATATAAGTAAAAAGGGAAATGAGCATATATATACCTGCTTGAATTTATCAAAAGAAGTAAAAGGGAAGTATGGGGTTATAGGTTTATGGAAGGGAGTGACACTTCAAAGTTATGCCTTTTTATATAGTTTAGGCCTTTTCATTCTCACATTTAAGATGAGAATGGGAGTTGGAAAACCCAATTTGCTGAAACAAGTTAACTAGGTTATATTTTAAGTTAGTGCTGTGTCCACACTAACTTAAAGAATGAATCTAAATTACTTGTCAACACTGTATTTGCGTTCTTATCCTCAGCATGAGTGGAAGTCGAGGGATATAAAAATTCTGAGCTCTTTCTATTATGTTTACTTTTTGCACTTATGTAGAAAAAATAGAGACTTTTTAGGTACATTGAGGATTGAGTTTTGAAGTTGAGGAATAACGGTTTCCTCGAGAAAGGAGAGATGTACAAATATGCGATAGAGAAGGCAAAAATAAGTCTTCTGCAGGGCAGATTACAGTTGCAGGCATCGGCGTAATCCATTTTTTAAAACCAGTATGTATCCGTGTATCTAACACATACTACAAGTCCCCACACATGCACACGCATCAATAAAAATGACAATAAACATTAAATTAACAAGAATTGATAATAAACTTGTTAGTAAGCAAACACATGGGGGTAAGTTCTTTCTTACAGTACATTTCCAGTTCAGGAGCTGGAAGCCGTCACTTGTAGCCATAGCATGGCTCCTGATGATTGGTCGCATCAAGGATCAAAACAAAACCAGGGGACCCTGACCCTGACCAGGAACAGACATTCCCAAAGTTATTTCCCCTGTCTTAGTCAGGGATCTATAGCAGTGAAGAGACACCATGACCAAGGCAACTCTTATAAGGAAACATTTACTTGGAGCTGGCGTACAGTTCAGAAGTTTAGTCCATTATCATCATGGTGGGGATGCAGGCAGACATGGTGCTGGAGAAGGAGCTGAGAGTTCTACATCTGGATCTGCAGCAGGAGACTGCGTGCCCACACTGGGCAATTCGTGAGCACCGAAGACAGCAAAGCCCACCCCCACACTTTCTCTAACAAGGCTACCCCTACTCCTAACAGCGCAACTTCCTATGGGCCAAGGATCCAAATACATGAGTCTATGGGGCCATACCTATTCAACCCACCACACGCAGACTGTTTAGTTGCACGTATTGAGAAAGAAATTAGGCATTGGTAAGATCCAGCAACAATATGGAACAGATGGTCATCATGTGACTGCAGTTAGGACACCAAAAAAGACACATTCTCATCTATGCCCTAAGTGGCATGACTCCAAATTAGGAGGAACCATCAGGCAAACCCTAAATCAGGAACCTTATACTTAAAAAAAAAAAAAAAAAGCAGCATGGGGGAAGGGCTTTTATGAGTAAGTTAGTACTGTAAATTATTAAGGCTGTTGCAGGAGCCTTATTCACATTAAAGGCTGCAAGATACAGATGAACTAGCAATACAACGCCTGATCTTACACCAGATGTCAAGCTGAGAGAAGATGGAGAGGATGTTATTGGCTCCGTTGAGAAATCTGACCACACCGAGAGGACTGGATAAAGGTGTTGTAGGGACTTAGATTAACTGGAGTTGATGGCTGTGCTTCGTCTGTAGAGGGACGCACAAGTGCGCAGTCTAGTGGAGAAGCAAAGGGCTGTGATGCATGAGGCACCGATGATTCATGTGGGGAGGGTGGGCGTGGCTAAGAACAGAGGAGCACAGACTAAAACAAAATGCGTGCCTAATAATAAAAACTAGCAGTAATACCCAGATGAAGCTGGATATTATTTTGTGTGTCTGTTCTTAAACAGTTCTTGTAACTTTTCTGGAAGTTTGAAATTATTTCCAAGCAAAATATTTAAAACATTAAAAAAAAAAAAATAAAAAATCTGCCCTTTGTTTTAGAGAGTTCTCACTTACAAAGACCCCGTTTCTTTGTCTGCAGTCAGGGTGTGGAATGAACATTTTTATAATATTTCTCCCTGTT